ACACCTCTCTACGGGACCATAGCAACAAGGTCAGATGGTGGATAGTGATACCTCTCTAAGGGACCATAGCAACAAGGTGAGATGGTGGATAGTGACATCTCTCTATAGGGCCATAGCAACAGGGTCAGATGGTGGATAGTGATACCTCTCTAAGGGACCATAGCAACAAGGTGAGATGGTGGATAGACACCTCTCTATGGGACCATAGCAACAAGGTCAGATGGTGGATAGTGACACCTCTCTATAGGGCCATAGCAACAGGGTCAGATGGTGGATAGTGATACCTCTCTAAGGGACCATAGCAACAAGGTGAGATGGTGGATAGACACCTCTCTATGGGACCATAGCAACAAGGTCAGATGGTGGATAGTGACACCTCTCTATAGGGCCATAGCAACAGGGTCAGATGGTGGATAGTGCACCTCTCTAAGGGACCATAGCTACAGAATCTGATGGTGGACAGAAACCTCTGAAGAAACTGTGAGCCAACATGGGTTTTCTCCTCCTCCTAAGTCAGCATACTGGTCATCTATGTTTTATTGTTGTGCCCATATACCTGGTACAAGCACCTAAGGATTTCTCTGCGCTCACAGTCGGAGGACACAGCCCACAACAGCAGCATCGGGCGGCTGGTCATTTTGCACCCACAGCCGGGAAGCAGAAAGAGAGGATTCCGCTGCCCAGTTCTTTTCCCCTTTGATCCAGTCCTGGAACCCACCCCAGGGAAAGCGCTGCCTACTCAGGGCTACCTTCTCTCTTCGGTTAACCCAGTCCAGAGGGTCAGCCACTAGCAGAGAAATGCAAATCAAAACCCGAATGGTGTTTCTCTTCCCACGGGTTAGAACAGCAGTTATCAAAAGGATCAAAGCCAGCGAGCGCTGTCAAGGACATGGAAAAAACAAAAAAACAAAACAGAGCCTTCATGTGAACCAGCTACTGTGGGAAACAGCATGGAGCTTCCTGGAAACACTACAGATACAACTGCCATGTACATGACCAATCCAGCAAACCCCATTTGCACCACCTGCGTTCAGTAATGGGGGGGGAGATATTCTTGCTACCAGCTAGAAATCAGGCAGAATTAAAAAAAAATCTCCCTCTCCCTATCCCCCCCCCCTCCACCCAAATTTATCCTTGGGCCTTGAAACTGCCTAGGTGGACTCCTATCCTGCAACAGCAGGCCCTCGGGATTAGGGGGACACACACCTTGTCCTGGTGTGAACTGTGTGGGGAAGATCTAGAGGCAGCCTCAGAAGACTTCCTCACCGCTCCCTCTCTGCAGCCCTCCTAAGAAACGGGCGCTCTGCGGTGAGCGAGCTCTCAGAGTAGGTCATTTTTCTTCCGAGGGCTCTCTTTATTTCCCTGAATGTTAACAAACTCCGGTGGGTGGACCGTCTCTCCACACACTGAAACCAAGATGGCTCTGAAGGTGCAGCCTTGAGGGCTCCTGTGTCCCCCGGTGGCGATCTGATAGGGCCACAGGTGAAACAAGATTACCCTTCCTTTACAAAACATTTTCAGCCTTCAGAGTTCTGTGGGGGGAGGCGTTTGTGGGGTTTTGTGCTAGTAAATGCCTTTTCCCTCCGGTTTCCACTAGTTACATGGGCCCAGGCCATCCTAGCTGCCCATATAACACATTCCCCCTGGAAGCCTGCTTTCCCAACTCTTGGTCTGATGGTATCTGCCTCCATCTCCAGTCCCTTTTCCTGTCTCTGGGACTTGCCAATGATCCCCATCCCCCCACTGAGCATGACAACCCAAGCCAGTACAGGTTCGGCCTCAGAAACAGCCAACAGGAGTTTGAGTCCAGCACCCACAGCCATTCTATTATTTTTGGCTATCTTGTTTGAGAACTGAGCTGTTACCAGCCAAAAGGCAGAAGGCCAGAGTCCCAATGGCACCCCTAACCAAGGACCCCACTGTCCTGAAACCCCAAGTTCTAGTTTTACGAATTACCCAAATCAACACGCTCCCCAGAGGCTTGGCAGTTTTCTCTGCATTTTTTTCTTTAATTGTGAGTCATATTGACATAGCTTATACTTAATTCAACACCGAGGAAAGTCTGTCTTCAGTAAAACTTCCTGCCCAGAATTACAGACCCCTTCAGATCAAATGCAACGAGGTGTCTAAGGTGAACTCCATTTTCCAGATCCAGAGGCTGCAGCATCCTTCCTCTGGACCCCAGCTGCCCCAGCCTCTCCCTCTTGAGTCACCTGCTGTCCAGTCCACTGCATTCCCTGGCGTTTGTTCCTTGGGGCCATTCTGGAGTGGGAGTGTTTTGGGCAAATGGAAAGGCTTTGATCTCTGATCTACCCTCTCCCCAGAGCAGATGACTTTGCCCCAGCCCCCGAAGACTGGGACTGGAGGGGCAGAAAACACAGCCCACAGGTATAAAGGCGAATTAACAACCTTCTATTGCTGTAATAAGACACCACAGCCTTGGCAACTCAGAGAAGAGTTTGTTTGGGCTTACAATCCCAGAGGGTTTAAGAGTCTGTGGTGGCAAGGAGCAGGAGGCTCGGGGCCAGGAGCAGAACCTGAGAAATCAGTCTTGAGCCACAAGCAGAAGCAGAGAGTGAACTCAAAATGGGACAAGTCTTTAAACTCTTGACTTCCACACCCCCCCCCAGTGACATACTTCCTCCAGCACGGCCACACCTTGCGGCCACACCTCGTAAACTTTCCTAAACAGTGCTACCAATGGGAGACCAGTTATTCAGATGCCAGAAACTTATAGGGGGTATTTTATTCTAACCACCACACGCAGCATCCTCAGGGCTCCTTGGGCATGAGCACCAAGACACCAAGTAGGATGGCAGTGGTTCAGATGGGTGTGACCCAAATGGGTGTGGCCTAGATGGGTGTGGTCCAGATGGGTGTGGTCCAGATGGGGACCCATCCTCAAGCAACTAGTGATTACAGCACAAGGGCATCTCCTGAGTTCACATGAGGCTGAGCCACACCTCTGCTTTCCCTCCCTCATCATCCCCCACCTCTGACCTCCACCTCAAACAAAGACCAACCTGAAACTGGTTTCGTATTTGAATATTCTCTCCTGTTCCCTCTGCTGATGAAATTTCAAGTCTGAATCATCATAAAATGAGGGCTGAACAAAGCCTGCTAGATTAGCGATAAAATTGATGTGCAAGGTCGATATTTCTCCCGGCTCCTGCAGCATTTCTAATATCAGGTACCAGTAGCAGCCCTTGGAGGAAAACCAAGCCAGCGGGCAGAGGCATGAGTCAGTTGTCCCCAGACATCAAGGCCCACAGAAGACGATCTCCGCAGTGGCCCGGTGTGACTTCCTGAGTGAGACCACACACACACACACACTCAAGACCTTTTCTTGAGCTTCCTGAACACACAATCCCCAAAGTCTCAGCTGTGGCTGGCTGATCAGAAACCCACAGTTGCAATGTTTACCTTATACCAAGAACGCCCCTGAAGGCTAGGTACCGCTGCTGCTGAGCCTGCCCAGTGACCCTGCACCAGCCTGCATCCCTTCACTGAACCGAAACCCTCCCTTTTCTAACACCTCACTGGACCCCCCAAATATAGGGAGGAGAGCAGCTTGTCCAGTCACCTCTGTGCGTGGGATGGATTGACTCTAAAATAACCTAGAACCGTGTGGGATGAACAGGACCACGTGGGAGGTAGCAGGAGCATCATGGAAACTGGAGAAGGGGTCGCCATGGCAACCAGCTCTCTATCCCTCGCTCCCCTGTTGCCTGGCCTAGAGTTACTCTCTCTAGAACACGCGGCCTGAGGCCTTTCCATACCCTGCAGCAAGACCTAACAGTTCTCTGCAGATTCGCAGAGTTGGGCGGGGACTAAGCGTTCTGAGCTTAGTCCCTGTGCCGAGCAAGGAACCCTGAACCCCACAACCTTTCCCGAGCCGGCAGAAATAATTAGGATAAAGTCATAGAGGATGCGAGTTGTGCACCGCAGGCAATGGCTGGTGTCCTTACTAGGGAGAAAATGAAGTCCTGAGGACCCACGATGATGGGAAGACAAAGGGCAGGCAGAGGCTGGAGAGAGTCGGGAGCCACAGGCACAGAGCGCCAATGAGAGCCAAAGCGGAACCAGAAAGAGGCTAGGGGAGGATCTCCATCGACACCTGGACCGCTGGACTTCACACTTCCGCGTCTGAGGCCTCATGGGTCCATACTGTGTCGCAGCAGCCACAGGAGGCTCATAGGATACCACAAGGGGGTGTGGCTTTGTTCTGAGTACACTGTGTCGGCCGGGCTGCTCTCTGCAGCCGCCAACAGTTGATTCTGCCTCTTAAAATCTGCTTTTTAATGCCGTAGTGTCTGGAGTCACAGGGAACATTGGCACTGGCCAATGGGTGACAGGAAAGGGGTAAAGGAACTTGCCGTTCCGCGAAGAAGTTTCCTTTCCCCGAAGTTCGTTTCTTACGAAATGAAAAAGCTTGAATCGAAATGCATTTGAAAATATTGTGGACCTATCTTTCCGTATTTACCGGTTTTTTCAAAGAAATGGCTTGTGTTAGTGTAGTTGTACGCATTTATGGGGCACATTATAGTAATTTGATACAAACTCAGTGTAATGAATATACCCATCTCCTTGGACATTTACTATTTAGTGTTGGGAACCACTGAACACTTATGTATATATTTATCTATTTATGAAATATACAATATCATCCTATGCCACTGTTACCTTAACACTCCCCTCCTCCCCTTCACCTTTCAATGACCCCAGTGACCTCTGCTCTATTCTCGGCTTCTAAGGCATCACCTTCTCTGGCTCCCACACATAAGCAAGAACATTTAACACTTGCCTTCCTGTGTCAGGGTTGATACATATCGATACATAGTCTCCTATGTATCAACTTAGCATAGTCTCCTCCGTGGGAAAGGATCATATGTGTGCGGAAACACATTCCCCACTGTCACCCGGACCTACCCAGACATCAGCTGAATCCACGGGCCCAAGAAGGCTGTCCCCTTTGCTTTGCTGAAACTGGTTGAACTTACAGAGATGTGTTTCCCTTGAAGGTTGCGCCCATCACGAAGGGGTTTCCCACACTGTGGGAAATCCTGCTTGCTTCCTTCCGCTTGGCTCTAGGACTTCCGTTAGCCTCCCGTATCTGCAAATGTTTCCAGGTGAACAGTCACTGTAGAAGCACAGAGGCCATCCTCAGCCCAGAAGGGGGCTTCACCGGTCTTGCCTTTGTTTAGTCTTATGCAATTAGTAACATCGTATCTTTTTTTAAAAAAGGACTTTCCAGGAGGATGTCTCGATCTCCATCGTGTTCCTTGCTGCCTGCTCTCATTTCGTGAGGAGCTTGGTTTACTGCAAGTTTGGGTAAATAGTGTTCTTCTGAGTAATTAGCATCCAATTAGGCCGCAGTTTCATGTCTGCCATGAGTCAAGCCTCTTACCCAACCCCTGGGAAGAGTTAAATGGGTCAGGCTTCTGTTTACAAAGCCCAGCCATGCTGACTGCTGCAGGCAGTGTTCAAGCTATCCCTGGTAGCCAGAGGAAGATAGATAGCCCATGTTCTTGGCCCTTGTGAAAGGGGCTGGACCAACGGCCGGGTGATCTGAATACTTCCCCTCTGATGTTCCCACAGCTCAACATTACCACCTTACACTGACAATGAAGGGAGCCCAGCCCCACCCTGTGAGTGACAAGGTCACAGCACTGTCCCCGTAGGCAGGTTTACTGGAAAGGACACCTGCGATGAGTCTCCCTGCTGACTAATGTCTAAGTTGCCATGCTGTTCCCAATTGTGTTAAATCTTTTAAAGTGGATGCAACATCAAGTCTTGTTCCTGCTAGGCTGGCTAACTTGTAAGCCCCGAGGATCTACCTACTTCTCCCCTGTGTTGGGGAGACAAGTGCGACCACCACTCCTGGTGTTTTGTTTGGTTTTGTTGGTTTTGTTTGGTTTTAAATGAGAGTTCTAGGGAATCACACTCAGCCCTCAGGCTTGTGAAACCAGTGCTTTACTGACTGAGTGGTCTCTGTCAGACATTTTAAATACAGATGTCCCTCGATAGCCACAGAGTACTCCACCCCAGAATCCCTCTGTCAGCTCCCCAACACAATCCATGCATTTTAGTTCCCTTCTAGAGGCCAGTCTATGCACATCTGCCTGTATACTTTAGGCACCTTTAGATTAATTATGATTGATGAACAGTGTGACTGTAATATAAGCACTATACTTTGTGTAGGAAACACTGACAAGAACGAGTCAGTAGAGAGGATTTTTTTCCCTTGAGTATGTTCTACCCATAGTTGGTGGACTCCATGTATAGACAGCCTACAGAAGAGGAGGACCATCTGAGGCTGGGAAGGAGAGAGAAGAACAGTGGGAGGGAGGGACGGGTGACTGTGAGCTCACTGTGTGCAACTCACCACGGTGGACGTCTTGCTGAATTGCCCTGCACATGCCTCCAAAGAAGAAAAAACACTTGCTAATGCAAACACAAGATCGTGGGGCAAAGATGTTATCGAAGCAGCCGGAATAAAACTGGTCCTAGCATTTCCCTGTGTTTGTTTCATATTTTTGTTTTCAGTCTATAGGGTCTATGCTGCTGCCCATTGTTCCTGGTGTGCTGATGGGCACACCTTCTGTAATAAATAGATCTAGTTAAATGTTTGTTATTTTCATTTATTTTTCCCCCAGCTGAAAGTTGTGCATCTATTTCTACTATTATTATTTGTTTTTTAAGGTTTAATTCCCCCCCCCACTGCTCTTGTCTGCTTCATATTTATTATTTCCTTTTTCCTATTTCTGGGTTTAATTTTCCATCTCTTAATGTGAAAGGTTAGGTCTTTTCTTAGTTGTTTCCCACAAACTCGATCATGCAGTGTTGCTGATCTTGTTTAGTCCAAGATAGTGTTAATCCTTCTTATGACTTCTTCTCTGACCCATGAGCTATTTAGAAGTCTGTTGTTTAACTTCCAAATATTTGGGGATTTTCCAGATTCTCCTGTTGTTGACATATTAAATTCTGCTGTGAGCAGAATATAAACTTTATATGATTTCAATCCTTTTAAATCTGCAGAGGCGTGGTCTTGGTTCAGCCCATGATCTGTCTGTGTGTATATACAAAGAATGTACATTCTGTACCTGTCATGGCTGACATGGTGACATCCAAAAGTCATCTTCGCAAATAGCATTTTCTAGAGCTTGCATGTCTTTGCCAATTTTATGTTCACTCAATCTTTTTTTATTTTTCTAATTCATTCATTTAATTTAGAAACAATCTTATTTTACATATCAAACCCAGTTCCCTCTCCCTCCAGCCCTCCCATGTCCCCCACCAACCCCCCATCCCACCCCCCAGGGAGGGTGAAGCCTCCCATGAGGGGTCATCAAAGTCTGTCACATCATTTGTGGCAGGGCTGAGAGAGTATCCCTCCATGGGGAATGGTTTCCCAAAGCCCATTCATGCACTAGGGATAAATACTGGTTCCACTGCCAGGGGCCCCATAGTCTGCCCTGGCCTCCTAGCTGACACCCACATCCAGAGGGTTTGGCTTGGTCCTATGCTGGTTCCCCAGCTTTATGACTGGGGTCCATGAGCTCCCTCTTGCTCAGGTCAGCTGTTTCTGTGGGTTTCTCCAGAACGCTCTTGAACCCTTTGCTCATCCCTCCTCCCTCTCTGCAACTGGGTTCCAGGAGTACGGCTCAGTGCTTAGGCATGAGTGTCTGCTTCTGCTTCCATCCTCTGCTGGGTGAAGGCTCTAGGATGTCACTAAAATTTTTATGTAAGGATGTGTGTGTGTATTTGCTGTGTGTGTACAGGATGTGTGTGTGTACTTGATGCCTGTGTGTATTTGGCATGTGTGTATGTAATGTGTGTGTATATGGTGTGTGTATGTCTACAGGTGTATGTGTACATGGTGTGTGTGTACATGGTGTGTGTACATGATGTGTGTGTGTATTTGGAGTGTGTATACATGATGTGTGTGCATATTTAGAGTGTGTGTATACATGATGAGTGTGTACATGGTGTGTGTGTACATGATGTGTGTGTGTACTTGGTGTGTGTGTGTACATGATGCATTGTGTATTTGGCGTGTATGTGCGTGATGTGTGTGTACATGATGAGTGTGGGAGTGTGTGTACCACAGTGCACATGTGTGGTCAGGGGACAGCCTCGTGGAGTGTGTTTTCCCCTTCCACTTCTATATGGGTTGTGGGAATTGAACTCAGATCACCAGGCGTGTGCTGCAAGCTTCCTTATCCACTGAGCCTTCACTGGCCAGTGTTTCCTCATCCTATAAGATATGGCCCCTTACCCTCTGACTCCATCTGGTTTTGCTTCCATTCTTGCATGCTCCGAGAGTGTCTCTTCTCCGTGGTCACCTGACCCTCTGTCAGCACGAGATGTCCCTCATCCCTGTCATCTTTCTGATGCTAGCTAGCATCCACTCGATTTTGATTACTTATCCTGGTGTCCCTTTCTGACCTGCTGTGGGAACTCATTCACCCGATAGCCTTCGGGGTACTGGCCTATTAAGGCGTGGTCTCAGGTACTACGTGCGGACTGACGAGAGGGAGAAGCGTGTTCTCGCTCTCTCTTGTGTGGGGGTCTAAGATCTGATCACAGCATCCTGAGCCGCCAGGCCAGAGGACCACTGAGGCTGTCTACCTTTATTGGTGTTCGTGAGTGTTCCCCAAATAAATATTTGATATCCTTTTATTCGGGCTCTTGTGGACTCCCTTACTCTTACACTGAGCCTTTGCTTTTGCCTGAATTCATCGACACATTTTAAACTAGGTCTTGTGTAGGTCACCCATGCTCTTCTTTGTGTGTGTGTGTGTGTGTGTGTGTGTGTGTGTGTGTGTGTGTGTGTGCTTTACCCTCATATAAGCTCAGCCTTTCCACGAGAGTGCTAACCAGCTGTGCATCATGTAATTACAGGATAGCTGATTTTGAGCATACCATCCTGCTGTTTTTCCTGTGTCCCCCAGACCCCCTTTATTTCCTCTCTTCCCATTTTAACTTTCCTTTGGGATGCATGTTTTTACTGTCCTATTTTATACAAGCTATATATACACAGTTACATATACTAAGTTATTTATACTGAATATAGCTTTTCAAAGGCAATGCACCATCCTTAGAATCTCTGCTGTGCTGTTTGCTTCTCATGTAATTTTAATACAAAAATACGTTTTTGTTTTTGCTGTTCACCTTAAATTTTAACTACTTTTTTTTTTAAGGCAGGGTTTCCCTGTGTGACCCCAGCAGGCTTGGAACTCACTGTGCTAACTAGGATGACCTTGAACTCAGAAATCCTCCTGCCTCTGCCTCTGCCTCCTGAGGGATTAAAGGCCACCACACCTGTCTCAAGCAACTTAAAAAGCTATATTCACGGATTCCTAACGACATTCTGCTACACTCATGGATTAGTGCCTAGTCCAATTGTCATCAGAGAGGTTTCATCCAGCAACCGATGGAAACGGAAGGGGAATGCTGCAGAAGGGGTGGGGAGGATAACAGGAGCCAGAAGGGGGTCAAGGACATCTCAAGAAAACCCACAGAGTCATGGACCTGGGCTCCTAGGTACTCACAGAGACAGAACCGACCATCGGGGAGCCTGCCTGGGTCTGAGTTAAGCATTCCGCATGTATGTTACAGTCGCGTAGCTCGGTCCTCTGTGGGACCTCCTAACAGTGTGGGGTGGGGGTCTGCTCTTTTCCAAAGGGAAACAGGAGGAGTGGATTGGGGGAAGAGGGGAGGGGGCGGAGGGGGCAAGGAGGAGAGGAGGGAGGAGGGAGGGAAATCCTCTCATACACTATATGAGAGGATTTTTTTTAAAGTTACACTTACTTATTTTATATGGGGAGGGCACGCCCGTGTGCTCACATGAGGGTCAGAAGACTCCTCGCCTCCCGCCACGTGGGTCCTAGGGTTGATTATTCATGTTGTGAGTTTTGGCGGCACCTCGCCTGCCGAACTGCCTCCTGGTTCCCTAAGTAACTTCAAAGGAAAAAAATTAACAAGGCAGATATTTTGTAGGTATCCACGTGCTTAGCAGCACTGGCAACCTTTAAATCATGTAACCATAGGTTTCTTAGCCCTAGGGTTAGAGGAACTTAGTTCAAATTTAATGTCATAAATTTACAGTGGGTACCCCCCCCTCCCCGAAGTGAATTCTTGGAGCTGGTACTTGTTTGCAAATTATTTTGTTTCCATTGCCAAATGACTGTTTTCCACGCACAAGCAGTCACAGGCTAATAGGGCTTATTTACGATCTGTCAACCTGCCCGCTGTCTGACACACCCTGTCTCTCTCTTTGGCACTGCATGGTTTCTGATGGGAAGTCTGTAGTCATTCTCGTTCTCTTTGAAATATGCTCGTTTTCCCTCTGCTCAAAAGGGTTTTTTTCCTAGCCCTGTTTTAAGCTATATAATATGATGCTTTATCATGGAGCATAAACACATGAATGAGTGTGTGTGTGTGTGTGCTATTTCAATATGATACTTTTTCATGGAGCATAAGCACGTGAGTGTGTGTGTGTGTGTGTGTGTGTGTGTGCATGACCTACAATAAGTCCTTGGATGCCCAACCCTTTTCATCAGATTTAGAAGCACTGTGGCCATTATCCCATCAATGTTCCTGCCTCTCCTCTCTGGCATCTTCAAGGAGCCTTG